TTATGAGTATAACTACTAACGTCGAAGGTATGGATGGTATGATTCGTGATATGGTCATGCTAACTTTGCCATGAACGCTTAAAGTTATTACTGCGATCGTAAACTTATCTATTCAACATGGGGTCTTTCCAGAAGCTTGGAAGGAGGCACTTGTGAAACCCCTACCAAAAGTTAATAACCCCACAGAACTAAAAGATCTCCGACCTGTAAGTATACTACTTCCATTCTTGTCGAAAATAATTGAAAAAGTCGTATCGTAATCGTAGTATAATCGTAAGCTTACAGAGTTTTTGAGTTCAAATAATATTTTACCTTTGAAACAGTCAGGAAACCGAGCTGGCCGCAGCACAGCGACCGCCTTAATGGATGTTATTGACGATACCCTCGCCGGAATCGATGTAGGGAAGGGATCAATAATCTCTTTACTTGATTTTTCGCGCGCGTTCGATACCATTAACCATGAGCTTCTTTTGGCCAAATTATTGTTTTACGGTTTCGACAATCAAACGTTAAAGTGGTTCTCTAGTTACCTAAGTGGTCGCTCACAGCGAGTAGAAATCATTGGTGATACTGGAATCAAATCATTCTCGGAGGCGCTTCCTATAGGCCTAGGGATACCGCAGGGGTCTATATTGGGTCCAATCCTCTTTAATTTGTATAGCGCAGACTTACCAATTAACATTAATAATTGTAAGCATCATATCTATGCGGATGACGTTCAAATATACTTATCCTTTAAACCTGAACACACATTATCTGCAGTAGCTAGTATCAACGCCGATCTTGAAGGAATTAGTGAATGGGCAAATAGAAACTGCTTAGTTCTAAACCCGCACAAATCAAAGTTTCTCGTTCTTGGATCTGCCCGTCAAATAGAGAGAATAAATGTTTTTAATCCCAGCCTTAAAATTGGAGGAACTGTAATTGAGAAAGTAACAGAAGCGCGAAATCTCGGAGTTCTTATGGATAACACTCTTAAGTTCCACAACCATGTTGTAGAAACAGTTAAAAACTGCTTTTACAGACTTAAAGTTTTGTATCAAGTACGCAACTACCTGGATGTTGATCGTCGCATTATGCTCTGCGAAGCTTTGATTCTGTCGAAGCTGAATTATGCAGATACCGTCATTGGTGACTGCCTTTATGGCTACACTAAAAAGCTTATCCAACGTGTTCAGAACGCTTGCGCCAGATTTTGCTTTCCGATCCCGCGACGGGCTCACGTTACCCCGTTTCTCAATAAGAGCAATCTAATGAATATGAAGACTAGGCACTCCTATCATTTTGCCTGCTTGCTTTTTGGCATTGTTCAGACAAAATCACCACTCTATCTGTACGATAAACTCACTCTTTCTGGACGTCCAACTAGATCTGCCCAGCGCTTTTTTGAGTGCGCAACACAGTACAGCAGCATTTCGTGGCAGTTTTCGTTATGCCGCCACGAAATGTTGGAATAATATTCCACCACCTTTTAGAAATTGTCACACTGTAAAATCTTTTAAATTTAGATATAAACAGTATCTTTTGCGAGGAAACTGACTGAGTGGGGGAGGGAGTTGGGCTTTAGATAGTACACAATAGTTAAATTTACAATCACACAAATCAAACTTACGACACTATATTTCTCGCAATTTTCTTTAATACGAACAAAGATCTTGTTTGGGTTAGTTAAGAATAATTCACGCAGGTGTTCTATAGCTTGATATTTAAAAATTCTATTCCATTCTATTTTAAGTTTCTTGCTTCACTTGAAGAATTTTGCCAATGTAAAGTCAGTTATTTAAAAATTGCAAAAGTGATAAGTTTACAAGCGCCGGTGGATTGACACTTATTTTTTTTATTTATTGCTGGCCATGGAAACAAAGACCTCTAGCCGAAAACATAAACGTTTAATTATATTTCTGTAAATATGGCCACCACAAAGAGGATAGGCAATTTGAGGCGGCGTGCTTAGATTGACTCGGGATTCCTTAGAACGGGCCGATACGGGTATTTTAGTTCGAGATTCGTATAATTTCGCGTTTTAATCTTCGATTAAGGCACAATGCACTATCCTATTCCACTTTAAACTAGATTTCACAAAATAATTGAAAGTCAAAATAAAAACAACACTTTTCCCTCCAAAAGGCCTAGAGCGAATCGGATTGACACATTGACAGCAGTGTTGCTAAAATAGATTTCTTATTATTGGTTTTGACGGCTGTGGGTACTTTACACCTTTGAGTAAATAAATCGGGAAGCTTGCCAGCTAAAAATAGAACGAAACAGAAAGATTTTATTCGAAACAAAACTTAAGATTTTAAATTTTATTATTATAATTATATCGAGTTCTTAGGTTTTCGCGATTGTTACACATAGGAAATGAAACTATTTTCCCGGATTTAAATCGCGTATATTTGTTTTTTCAAACATATCGACGTTTCGGGCCCTTTACAGGTCCTATGTCAGGTCACGGTTGACTGAGGAGGCAGTCTTCAACCAGTTATGTCTAATATTAATGCAAACCACCAAACCACCCTATTTTTTCACTATAGTTACAATACTTATTAATTAAAAAAAAAACATTCCCATTTACGCTACATTACGTTTTACAAATTATTTTACTGAATGAATTCTTATTACATTCGATATATTATTAATTAATAATAGAAATTAGAATAAACTAAAACATATTAATTAGTACTGCAGTCTTATGTCTGTTTAGGATTTTTCATTAGAGGAAATACTGGATTCCAAACTGGTGGTACGGAGAAACCATCTTACCAGTTGAAATTAGGATGTTTTTTAATTTCAATGGCCTCTCGCAACATCCGATTTTAATAAATGCATTGAAATTACAAATAAACGACCAGCATTTAAATTTCAACAATCCCAAAAAACACATTGAAAAATTTAATAAACCTAAACTGAAGTGCACAAGTAACGAAACGTCAACGTCACTGTCAAATGATCAAACAACCTCAATCTGTGATAAACTAATAAACTTATCTTTAAAAGAAGAAGAAGAATAAAACATTAGATCCGTCTTCTTATTCGGTTTTGTAAAAGGGTTTGAATTACGCAGTGGCTCCTGTCTCGTCGTGTTTCATACGAAGAAATTATTTGTAACGTTGAGGATTGTCTAGTTAAAAATAAAATGAGAAAGGAAGATTTGGAGGCAATACGCCAAGACGTTTCGTCAATATTGCGTTCATATAAACAGCCCAGACCGAATCTTACTCGAGATGAATATAACGCGCTGAAGACCTTCCGCGAAGATCCTGAATTAGTCATCCTCCGTGTAGATAAAGGTAACGCGACGGTGGTCATGAATACGTCAGATTAAAACAGCAAAATAATTGACTTACTATCGGATGAAAGCACGTACAAAAAGCTGAAGAAAGACCGTAGAATCTTGGTGGTAGCACCAAGATATTAAAAACAACAAAATGAAGCTAATATGATGACACCATGTTCAGTTTTGATGTTCAGTCGCTGTTTACCAACCAGTAAAAGACTGCATTGAAATTGTACGTAGAAAGCTAAGGGAACATAATATGTCCATTGAATATGCAGAATTATGAGAACACTGCGTAACATCAGGCTATCTATTGTGGAATAATGAATTCTACCTACAAATTGACGGCATAGCGATGGGCTCCCCAGTATCTCCCATTGTTGCTGATATTTTCATGAAAGATTTTGAGGAGCGAGTTTTAGCTATGGCCCCAGCTAGGCTGAAGATTTCAAACGGTATGTTGATGATACTTTAACAATATTACCTAAAGATAGCATATCTTCTTTCTTGGAACATTTTAATTCTTTTTAGTACTAAGATCCAATTTACCATGGAACAAGAGAATTGTGGTACTTTAGCTTTCTTAGATGTTTTAATTAAAAGAAATCCTAATAACACCTTAGGCAATACTGTATTTCGAAAGAAAACTCATACAAAAAGGTATCTCAATGGCAATTTCCATTACCGTCCTAGCCAGTTAGCTACCGTGGGCAAATCTTTGTTTCAGAGAGCTACCGTGGGCAAATCTTTGTCACAGACACCATGTGTGTGTCTGCGACAGTAATCATCTGGCAGGGGAACTTCAGCTTATAGAGCAAGTCCTACATGCGAATAAGTTGAAGATTCCACACCAATGCCGCAGGCCCCATGTGAAACCCTCAACAGTCGAGCAAAGACCTGCCATTTTACCTTACGTGAGAGGTGTTTCAGACAAGATCGGAAGAGTCCTCAGGTGTGCATCTATCAAGACCTATTTCTAGCCCTTGAGGAAGATTTCTAATTCCTGAGACCCGTGAAATGTAGCATCCCATGACAGGATGCAGGAGTTTAGAAGCAGTCAAGCTTGTAAACTCCTTGTGATTGCGGTCTTTCTTATATTGGACAAATGAAGCGAAGTATTTGTATCCGAGTCAAAGAACATATAGCTGATGTCAAACACCGTCGTGTAAACAAGTCTGCAGTCTGCGAGCATGTCATGGATAAATCTACACATTCAATGAAGTTTGACAAACCCCAGGTCCTTGCAAAAGAAGTCCGTTATCTACCCAGGACGCTGCAAGGGGTCATTGAAATTAAAAAACATTCTAATTTCAACAGGGAAGATGGTTTCTCCGTACCACCAGTTTGGAATCCAGTATTTCCTCTAATGAAAAATCCCAAACAGACATAAGACTGCAGTACTAATTAATATGTTTTAGTTTATTCTAATTTCTATTATTAATTAACAATAAATTGAACGAAATAAAAATTCATTCAATAAAATAATTTGTAAAACTTAATATAGCATAAATTAGAATGTTTTCTCTGTAAAATTAAAAATAAGGTATTTAATTAATAACTATTGTAACTACTAGGTGAATCAAATATAAACGAGACTTTTGGACCTGCGCGCGCAATAGTGATGGAAGAACGTTCCGCTGTTATTGGCTGTTTGGTTGGTTTGTCAGGAGTGGGGGAAGCACGTGACTCATCATCATAGACTCGCTCAGTGTCCATCGTTACGATGTCCGAGCAGGAGGTACCTCCCTCTATTGCGCAACGTATTGTTATCAAGTTTTTAGCTGCAGAAGGTGTAAAACCGGCCGAAATCTTGAGAAGATTGACTGCACAGTTCGGGGATGAGACGCTGTCGCGAGCTAGAGTGTTTGCTTGGCATAAACATTTCGTGGAGGGCCGTGAACGTGTTCAAAATGAGAGCCATGACCGCAGACCCCGCACCAGCATTACAGCGGGCAACATCGACAGTGTTCGTCAACTTGTTGAAGGTGATAGGCGTCTAACAACTTCGGATATTGCAATTAAGGTTGGAATAAGTTATGGGAGCACTTACTCTATACTCTCAGAGGAGCTAGGGTATCGCAAGGTGTGTGCCAGGTGGGTTCCTCGCCTTCTCACAGTTGACCAGAAACTGAATCGTTTTCAAGTGTGTGAGCGTCTTCTTGCACGATTCTTCTTGTACTTCGGCCGGGAGAAATAGTTGTATGGGCTAGAATTATTTCTCTCGTGAGTTTGGGTGTAATTTGTGGTTGTCTATGTGTGTGTCCATGGCACCCGCGACACAGAGTTTCCCTAGTGCGAGGCTATGTTGAGTGTGTGCGTTATTTATTATTTATTTAAAAATAATAACAATTAATAGGTAATAGCGCACACTCATAGCCCCGCCTAGGGATACCCTGCGTCGCGGGTGCCATGGATACTATGGAACTGTAATAAGAGTTCATGGTAAAGCACCACGTCTGGAAACAAATACAAAACACTGACTTAGTGACCCTACTACTAAAATTTATAACAAGTATCTCAAGAAATTTTTGCTTCCATCACAATTTAAGGCGTCCTAAATTAAAAATATTTTAGACTCTCATGTCGTTAGTTATTGAAGGGCAAACTAACGATTGTATTATTATAATCCACTGCGTAAGGGATGGTTCTTATCATAAAAGTTATTAAAAGCGGGGCAAACACTCTGCTTTTTGAGAAAATCTTATCAAAACTTCATATTTGAGAAGGAATTTTTCATCCACAAAACGGCTGGTTTTCAAAGTCCTGTCGAGACTTCCTGAAGAGTATACTAACGACTGAATTAATGTTTCTTGGTGCGGAAGGGGATGTTCTTATCACTGAAATAACAAAGAGCGGGTCAACTGCGATTGTATCTGAAAAATTCTCTCTTAAATGGAACACGGAATCTCGTTCCCATCGAAACGTATTGCTTTCAAGTTGCTACTGAAAGTTATTGGAGGGCATACTAACGATTGTATTGTTGCAGTCTGCTGCGTAAGGGATAATTCTTATCATTAAAATCATTAAAAGCGGGGCAAACACTCTGCTTTTTGAGAAAGTCTTATCAAGACTTCATATTTGAGAAGGAATTTTTCACCCACAAAACGGCTGGTTTTCAAAGTCCTGTCGACACTTCCTGAAGAGTATACTAACGACTGAATTAATGTTTCTTGGTGCGGAAGGGGATGTTCTTATCACTGAAATAACAAAGAGCGGGTCAACTGCGATTGTATCTGAAAAATTCTCTCTTAAATGGAACACGGAATTTCGTTCGCAACGATACGTATTGCTTTCAAGTTGCCACAGAAAGTTATAGAAGGGCATACTAACGATTGTATTATTATAATCCACTGCGTAAGGGATGGTTCTTATCTATCATCAAAGTCATTAAAAGCGGGGCAAAAACACCCTGCTTTTTGAGAAAATCTTATCAAGACTTCATAGTCGAGAAGGAGTTTTTCACCCACGAAACGGCTGGATTTCAAAGTCCTGTCGAGACTTCCTGAAGAGTATACTAACGACTGAATTAATGTTTCTTGGTGCGTAAGGAGATGTTCTTGTTATCCACATGACTGAAATCGGGGCTGCTGTGCTTATTTTTTAGAAAGGGACTCATTAGTTGAATGTGGAATTTTGTTGCGTATTAAACTAGTTATGTTCCTAGTCCTGCCGATAGTTCTCGAACAAAACACTAGTTTGTTATAGTGTCAGCTTGTGTCTAATATCATTTGTTTTCCACGGAATTGCGAGAAATCGCGGTAGCCATGATAATTCTATTTTTAGTATGTATAAGTACATTACTCAATCCAGGTGAACTCAACCGAATTGCATATTTTTTACATTACGTGGACGACAATGTCATTTGGCGTATGATACTTGACTTAGCATATGTAGGTACGTAAAACTTGTGGTTGCTGAGTACTACAGCATTTCTCTCATGTGTCTTCTATTTTTAATCGGCTGATTTGTATTTCGTAAGAAAAAGACATCAACGAAGTCAGATTTTTGCTTCATGTGAAAGACATCAATGAACGCATGTGCGTTTTTGAACGACTCACCTAAGAAATTGTTTCTTAAAAAAATCAATGTTCTAACGTGTACTAACGATATACTAACGACCTACGCAAGCCGTTTCCGGGTGCATTAGATAAAACATAGTGGGGTGGTGATTTAAAAAAAATAATATGTATCCGGGTATACTTACGACGAGTGTGAGCATACTTACGTATACTTACGACATACTAACAATTGCCGTAGAAAGAACCACTAAAAGCCGTTTTGGGGTGGCAGTGTGAAGTTGACCACCTCAAAAAGTTTAAAAAAAAATCATTGTTCCCCGAGTATACTTACGTCGAGAGTGGGCATACTAACGTATACTAACGATATACTAACGACCTGTATAGGTCGTTTCTGGGCACAAACAGTGGTCAACTTCACACGAGTTTCACGCGCCACATATATTAATAATAAAAATAATAAATAATTACTCACTTCCCGCAAAAAAACATTATAATTTATATGTTATAGTTTATTATAGACACTTAAATGATTTCTCAAATATATTCAAAAATAAAATGGAAAAAATAATTTCATGTTTTTGAATGAGGTTTATTTTGCCCATCTAGCTCACATAAAGTCATTTTGAGTTAAGTAGATATCATTTGATTGTTTCTTACAATGTTCTAACGACGGTTTTTTTGACGTGTAGGGAATCAAATTTTACGTTCAGTAATGATATAATATTAAATTTCACATATTTTGAGTTACAACACTATTGTAATAGCAGTGCGATGTATTTAACTGCACACATGCACCACGCGCGCAGCTGATATGCACCGCATTCGCGGCGTAGTCGCGAGATCTGTATGTACCCTCAGGATGTGCATAAGTTGACACACGTCTTATGTGCCTGTGTTTTCACCAACACCCTTACCCTTTAAAACCGGAACGCAGTAATGATTACATTACTACTTGGTGGCAGAAATAAGTAAGGTGGCAGTACTTCCCTAGATGAAATCTTTTGAAAGGAGCACTACTGCTATTAAAACTATACGTGTCACCGCTGGGCATGGGTCACCTGTGAGGTTATGATTTGAACCACATCACTGGACACAGTTAGCAAAACTGTAAGAAGAGACGTGAAGTTCTAAATTGCAATCTTGGAAACAAAAAATTTAATTGAAAATTTGTTGTTTGAATATACTGTTACGAAATTAGATTGTTATCAGCCTTGATTTATATGCTATTTAGCCAAGTGAAGTGGACAAATTCATACACGACAAACTTCATGTATACAGTCCTTGAATCTCTAATTTTGTAATCGACGTTAACGTCACCCGAACTCCATACATTTGTGAGAATTCATAGTTTGTAAGAGATGCAGAGAAATTCTATTATATATCGCAGCTTCATTCTTAGCGATTTATTCCAGTTTCTCTATGTCCAGTTTACATTGTAGCTATGTCTACACACAACAGCATTTGCATTAATTCTTAAAAAAAAAATGTAACCAAACTGACAGGTTATGCTTTCGTCTGTATTGCGAGCTATTTCTATTTATCAGAAAAAAAGGAGGAGGTTCTCAATTCGACTGCATGTCTTTTTTTGTATGTATGTTACGCGATAGCTCGTGATAATTTGTGAACCAATTTTGATGATTCTTTTTTTTGTTGGAAAGATGATACCTCACAATTGGTCCCATTTAAATTTGAAGAAAATATTCCACTTCTAAGGGTGGCAAACTAAGCGATGAATGACTTTTGAGGTCGGAGTTTTCAGTACTCTTGGACTTTGATATGACTGGATATAATACCTTCTATACTTTGAACATAAATAATGGTAATCACTGAGATTACCATTATTTATGTTCAAAGTATATAAGGTATTATATCTAAAGTCCCTATTATTTTTCTTTTATTTCCTCTAATAAAAGAAAAATAATAGGGACTTTAGATAATGAAGGGCTTAAACCATAAAATGTTTCTTACCCATATAAGCTCACATGTTTGGGTAATTATCAATGGTCGGAAAAAGGTGCTTCATATGTATAGATGCATGCAAGGTATAACTACGAGGAGCGAGATAGAGTTGTTAAAATAGCCAAATGTTAATTAATTACTTTTCGAATTCCGGAAACGGTTTTACTGCATTGTAGGACGAAACTACTGACCTAGGAAGTCTAAGTTGTTAGTAATTCTAATAAAGTTGTAATTTTAATTATTATGATAGAACTTCACGTACAGGTAAGTACGTTTGATTATCAATTATTACTCGGTTTGAGCCGGATTCTGACTTCGTCAAATTGTAGATAAATTATCTTAAGACAAATTCGTATATCGATTATTAAAGGCTGTCATGATACCTCGTGTCATAATTGCGATTGGGGGATAACGGCTAACGAGAACAACGCATTTCGGTGCTCTTGCGCAACTGAGCCAAGGCGATATTCATGCTTTCCTCTGATACATGGACCATTCAAGGTGATCGCATTGCCCTGTCAAATAAAACGCTGTCTGTTAAACCCGATAAAGTTGTTAATACATTTTGTTTGCAGAATATTTTTCTATTGGATTGATTCTCGAGAGTGAAAAATAGTTCCGTCGGAAAAAAAATTAATATGTGCATTTTCCACTCGTCTAGATGGTTTCTGATTTAGCGAGGTTTTAAACGATTTTTTTTAGTAACATCGACGGTCAAATTAAGTGAGAGTAGATTATTTTTATGACTCAGTTATCTATACATTTATTATTTTAATCCACTGAACTCCGTGAATTAGCCTAATTACCATTTACATATTTCAAACAACATGGAATCAGTCGGAGAGAGATTATCATCGAAATAAAATTCAGATTTTAGTAGCTCAATCCTGACAGATTTTACCTTTCTCCTGCCGGCATTTTATTTAAGTTCATCTTGATTGTATAATTCCGAAATATACAATGGAAAGCGATTGTTTATTTCAGTTAATTTGTTGTGGCTTTTCTGTTTTTCCGCGGGTGATATTCAATTACAATTCCTACTATTTGCAAATTAGGAGCAGGGCCGGCCCTGCCATAGTGCGAACTGAGCGGCCGCTCCAGGCGCCAAGTCCCAGGTGGTAAAAATAAATATCTTAGCTTTTCGATATAGTAAGGTTAGTTAGTAAGTAGCAGTAGAGCTTCTCGTGAAAGAGTTCCAGGGAAGTACTGCCACCTTAAG